GGTGTTTTTAATAATGTCCCCACTCTGAATGCGGTGTTCTTATAATGTCCCCACTCTGAATGCAGTGTTCTTATAATGTCCCCACTCTGAATGCAGTGTTCTTATAATGTCCCCACTCTGAATGCGGTGTTTTTAATAATGCCCCCACTCTGAATGTGGTGTTCTTATAATGTCCCCACTATGAATGCTGTGTTCTTAATAATGTCCCCACTCTGAATGCGGTGTTCTTATGTCCCCACTCTGAATGCTGTGTTCTTATAATGTCCCCACTCTGAATGCTGTGTTCTTATAATGTCCCCACTCTGAATGCTGTGTTCTTATATTGTCCCCACTCTGAATGTGGTGTTCTTAATAATGTCCCCAATCTGAATGCTGTGTTCTTAATAATGTCCCCACTCTGAATGCGGTGTTCTCATAATGTCCCCACTCTGAATGCGGTGTTCTTATGTCCCCACTCTGAATGCGGTGTTCTTAATAATGTCCCCACTCTGAATGCGGTGTTCTTAATAATGCCCCCACTCTGAATGTGGTGTTCTTATAATGTCCCCACTATGAATGCTGTGTTCTTAATAATGTCCCCACTCTGAATGCGGTGTTCTTATGTCCCCACTCTGAATAATGTGTTCTTATAATGTCCCCACTCTGACTGCTGTGTTCTTATAATGTCCCCACTCTGAATGCTGTGTTCTTATATTGTCCCCACTCTGAATGTGGTGTTCTTAATAATGTCCCCACTCTGAATGCTGTGTTCTTAATAATGTCCCCACTCTGAATGCGGTGTTCTCATAATGTCCCCACTCTGGATGCGGTGTTATGTCCCCACTCTGAATGCGGTGTTCTTAATAATGTCCCCACTCTGAATGCGGTGTTCTTAATAATGTCCCCACTCTGAATGCGGTGTTCTTAATAATGTCCCCACTCTGAATGCGGTGTTCTTATAATGTCCCCACTCTGAATGCTGTGTTCTTATATTGTCCCCACTCTGAATGTGGTGTTTCTTAATAATGTCCCCACTCTGAATGCTGTGTTCTTAATAATGTCCCCACTCTCTGAATGCGGTGTTCTCATAATGTCCCCACTCTGAATGCGGTGTTCTTATGTCCCCACTCTGAATGTGGTGTTCTTAATAATTTCCCCACTCTGAATGCGGTGTTCTTAATAATGTCCCCACTCTGAATGCGGTGTTCTTATAATGTCCCCACTCTGAATGCGGTGTTCTTATAATGTCCCCACTCTGAATGCTGTGTTCTTAATAATGTCTCCACTCTGAATGCGTTGTTCTTATAATGTCCCCACTCTGAATGTGGTGTTCTTAATAATGTCCCCACTCTGAATGCGGTGTTCTTAATAATGTCCCCACTCTGAATGCGGTGTTCTTAATAATGTCCCCACTCTGAATGCGGTGTTCTTATAATGTCCCAACTCTGATTGCAGTGTTCTTATAATGTCCCCACTCTGAATACGGTGATCAGACATTTTATATATTTTCCTGCCTTTTATTTGTCTGGTGTGGAGCTTCTGAATGTAGAAAAGGCCAAATACCTGGGGCACGTCATCAGGAGTGACCTCAGTGATTACGATGACATTCAGAGGCAGTACTGTAAGCTGTATGGACAGGCTAACACTTAAGCACACCTCTCTATACTGCACACCTCTCTATACTGCACACCTCTCTATACTGCACACCTCTCTATACCGCACACCTCTCTATACCGCACACCTCTCTCTACCGCACACACCTCTCTATACTGCACACTTGTGGTGCAGATACAGTAAGAGTAAATTTTTGAAGCTGCAGGTTCATACAATTATGCATTTAGAATGTTACTGAGAGTCCCTCGTTGGACTAATGCCAGCTCACTGTTTGTTCTTAATAATGTCCCCACTCTGAATGCAGTGTTCTTATAATGTCCCCACTATTAATGCTGTGTTCTTAATAATGTCCCTACTCTGAATGCAGTGTTCTTATAATGTCCCCACTCTGAATGCAGTGTTCTTATAATGTCCCCACTCTGAATGCGGTGTTTTTAATAATGTCCCCACTCTGAATGCGGTGTTCTTATAATGTCCCCACTCTGAATGCAGTGTTCTTATAATGTCCCCACTCTGAATGCAGTGTTCTTATAATGTCCCCACTCTGAATGCGGTGTTTTTAATAATGCCCCCACTCTGAATGTGGTGTTCTTATAATGTCCCCACTATGAATGCTGTGTTCTTAATAATGTCCCCACTCTGAATGCGGTGTTCTTATGTCCCCACTCTGAATGCGGTGTTCTTATGTCCCCACTCTGAATGTGGTGTTCTTAATAATTTCCCCACTCTGAATGCGGTGTTCTTAATAATGTCCCCACTCTGAATGCGGTGTTCTTATAATGTCCCCACTCTGAATGCGGTGTTCTTATAATGTCCCCACTCTGAATGCTGTGTTCTTAATAATGTCTCCACTCTGAATGCGTTGTTCTTATAATGTCCCCACTCTGAATGTGGTGTTCTTAATAATGTCCCCACTCTGAATGCGGTGTTCTTAATAATGTCCCCACTCTGAATGCGGTGTTCTTAATAATGTCCCCACTCTGAATGCGGTGTTCTTATAATGTCCCAACTCTGAATGCAGTGTTCTTATAATGTCCCCACTCTGAATGCGGTGTTCTCATAATGTCCCCACTCTGAATGCGGTGTTCTTATGTCCCCACTCTGAATGTGGTGTTCTTAATAATTTCCCCACTCTGAATGCGGTGTTCTTAATAATGTCCCCACTCTGAATGCGGTGTTCTTATAATGTCCCCACTCTGAATGCGGTGTTCTTATAATGTCCCCACTCTGAATGCTGTGTTCTTAATAATGTCTCCACTCTGAATGCGTTGTTCTTATAATATCCCCACTCTGAATGTGGTGTTCTTAATAATGTCCCCACTCTGAATGCGGTGTTCTTAATAATGTCCCCACTCTGAATGCGGTGTTCTTAATAATGTCCCCACTCTGAATGCGGTGTTCTTATAATGTCCCAACTCTGAATGCAGTGTTCTTATGTCCCCACTCTGAATGTGGTGTTCTTAATAATTTCCCCACTCTGAATGCGGTGTTCTTAATAATGTCCCCACTCTGAATGCGGTGTTCTTATAATGTCCCCACTCTGAATGCGGTGTTCTTATAATGTCCCCACTCTGAATGCTGTGTTCTTAATAATGTCTCCACTCTGAATGCGTTGTTCTTATAATGTCCCCACTCTGAATGTGGTGTTCTTAATAATGTCCCCACTCTGAATACGGTGATCAGACATTTTATATATTTTCCTGCCTTTTATTTGTCTGGTGTGGAGCTTCTGAATGTAGAAAAGGCCAAATACCTGGGGCACGTCATCAGGAGTGACCTCAGTGATGACGATGACATTCAGAGGCAGTACTGTAAGCTGTATGGACAGGCTAACACTTAAGCACACCTCTCTATACTGCACACCTCTCTATACTGCACACCTCTCTATACTGCACACCTCTCTATACCGCACACCTCTCTATACCGCACACCTCTCTCTACCGCACACACCTCTCTATACTGCACACTTGTGGTGCAGATACAGTAAGAGTAAATTTTTGAAGCTGCAGGTTCATACAATTATGCATTTAGAATGTTACTGAGAGTCCCTCGTTGGACTAATGCCAGCTCACTGTTTGTTCTTAATAATGTCCCCACTCTGAATGCAGTGTTCTTATAATGTCCCCACTATTAATGCTGTGTTCTTAATAATGTCCCTACTCTGAATGCAGTGTTCTTATAATGTCCCCACTCTGAATGCAGTGTTCTTATAATGTCCCCACTCTGAATGCGGTGTTTTTAATAATGTCCCCACTCTGAATGCGGTGTTCTTATAATGTCCCCACTCTGAATGCAGTGTTCTTATAATGTCCCCACTCTGAATGCAGTGTTCTTATAATGTCCCCACTCTGAATGCGGTGTTTTTAATAATGCCCCCACTCTGAATGTGGTGTTCTTATAATGTCCCCACTATGAATGCTGTGTTCTTAATAATGTCCCCACTCTGAATGCTGTGTTCTTATGTCCCCACTCTGAATGCGGTGTTCTTATGTCCCCACTCTGAATGTGGTGTTCTTAATAATTTCCCCACTCTGAATGCGGTGTTCTTAATAATGTCCCCACTCTGAATGCGGTGTTCTTATAATGTCCCTACTCTGAATGCGGTGTTCTTATAATGTCCCCACTCTGAATGCTGTGTTCTTAATAATGTCTCCACTCTGAATGCGTTGTTCTTATAATGTCCCCACTCTGAATGTGGTGTTCTTAATAATGTCCCCACTCTGAATGCGGTGTTCTTAATAATGTCCCCACTCTGAATGCGGTGTTCTTAATAATGTCCCCACTCTGAATGCGGTGTTCTTATAATGTCCCAACTCTGAATGCAGTGTTCTTATAATGTCCCCACTCTGAATACGGTGATCAGACATTTTATATATAGGTTCATGAAACGCTGTGAGGACTCTTTCAATGTAAAATGAATATTTTTACTGTACAGAGCAGTGTTAGGCACACCTCTTATCTCTGGAGGAATTGGAGAAACTGTCTTTATAGAATGTTGTAAATATTGAAAGTTTGTGTTTTTTGTCTCTCTTCTGTTTTATATGGACCCTTGTGTGTGTCTGAATTAAAGATTTAGAAAAGAAAAAATAAATGAACTCAGCATTCTTTTAAAATTTGATTTTCTGCTCTCTTCCCTGGTCTGTCTCTGCTCTCTCCTCTGGTCTCTCTCTGGTCTCTCCCCTGGTCTCTCTCTGCTCTCTCCCCTGGTCTCTTTCTGGTCTCTCTCTTTGGTCTCTCTCTCTGGTCTTTCCCCCCTGGTCTCTCTCTGGTCTCTTTCTGGCCTCTCTCTGGTCTCCCCCCCCCCCCCCCCCGGTCTCTCTCTGGTCTCTCCTCAGGCCATCCACTCTGTGTCCTGGCACCATGAGGGGAAACAGTTTGTGTGCAGTCATTCTGATGGGACCCTGACTATGTGGGGCGTGCGGTCTCCGGTGAAGCCTCTGCAGATCATCACTCCACATGGTACGCACCACATTCATGGTCCAAACAGTTATCAGTGTTTTCTCTTTATTCATCAGTGTTTTCTCTCCATAACAGTTGCACCTCCAGCCGGTAACTCCCTCCTCATTTAGGGAAGAAGTAGCATTAGTAGTAGCAGTAGAAGTAGTAGTAACAGTAGAAGTATTAGTATTAGTAGCAGTAGCAGTAGTAGCAGGAGTATCAGGAATAGCAGGAAAAGTAGCAGTAATAGTAGTAGTAGGAGTAGTACTGTGAGATATAGATGCCATATTTGTATATTAAGTCTGTCTGTTCTCAGGGAAACAGACCAAAGACGGAAAGAAACAGGAGCTTTGTCGACCAATCCTGAAAGTGGAATACAAGAGCTCCAGGGCGGGGTGAGTGAGTGTGTGTGTGTGTCTGTATGTATGTGTCTTTGTGTGGGTGTGTCTGTATGTATGTGTCTTTGTGTGTGTGTGTCTGTATGTGTGTGTGTGTTTGTGTTTTGAGGTCCAGTGTGTGTGTGTTTGTGGTGAGGCTCAGTATGGGTGTGTTGTGAGGTCCAGTGTGTGCATTGTGAAGACCAGTGTGTGTGTGGTGAGGCCCTGTGTGTGTGTGTGTTGTGAGGCCCTGTGTGTGTGTGTGTTGTGAGGTCCAGTGTGTGTGTGGTGAGGCCCAGTATGTGTGTGTTGTGAGGCCCTGTGTGTGTGTTGTGAGGTCCAAAGTTATCTGACAGTTCCGTAAAAAAAAAATTCCGGAGGACCCGCTGCGTACATAGCTGCCCATGCGCCTGCCTGTTCACAAATCGCTTTTGGTGAAAATTTGACTTGTGATAATGTTCTTTTGATCAAAAGAAATCGGAGGTCCAGAGAAAGGGGTTTAAGGGTCCGAACTTGGAGCGCAGTCCGCCCTTTGGGGACCCTTGAACTAGTGTATTCATTAAAAGAAAAAGGAAGGAAGATTGCGAGGCCCTGTGCGACGGCACAGGTTGCACAGCCCCTCCGACGGGCTTGTGTGTGTGTGTGTTGTGAGGACCATTATGTACGTGTGTGTTGTGAGGTCTATTGTTTGTGTTATGAGGTCCAGTGTTTGTCTTGTGAGGACCAATATGTGTGTGTTGTGAGGACCAGTGTGTGTGAGTGTGTGTGTTGAGGTCCAGTTTGTGAGGACCTGTGTGTGTGTTGTGAGGTCCAATATGTGTGCATTGTGAAGACAAGTGTGTGTGTGTGTTGGGAGGACCAGTATGTACCTGTTTGTGTGTTGTGAGGTCTATTGTTTGTGTTGTGAGGTCAAGTGTGTGTGTGTGTGTGTGTTGTGAGGACCAGTTTGTGGTGTTGTCTATTGTTCATGTTGTGTGTTTTGAGATCCAGTGTGTGTGGGCTGTGAGGTTCAGTGTGTGTGTGTTGTGAGGACCAATATGTATATGTGTGTGTGTTGTGAGGTCCAGTGTGTGTGTGTGTGTTTGTGTGTGTGTTAGGTCCTGTGTGTGTGTGTTTCCCTCCCTTGCTCTCAGCTCAGTCTACTACATTTGTGGTGTTTTAATCTCATGCATTTCCTGTGTCTGTTTGAGTTGTCGCTGAGCCAAGGAGAAACTTCCTGGTGTGTGTCTGTGTGTGTTTTTGTGTGTGTGTGTGTGTGTGTGTGTGTGTGTGTGTGCGCGTGTGTGTGTGTGTGTCCAACAACAGGAAGTGCGGCTGCAGAATCCTCACTACTGAAAATACAACTGCAGAAGCACAGTGACTCTGTCTCAAGTTAAATCCAGTTTCTGCGTCTCTATACAGAGACAATGCTAACATGCTAGCTCAGTGCTAACCCGCTAGCTCAATAAAGCCCAATAGAGAAGTGCTCATGGTGAAGTCTTACTCCAATGTCTCTTACATGAAAAAGTAAACTCCTCTAGCTCAGTAACGGTTTTTTTGAGGCATTCCTTGTTGTCTGGTCTCTCTCTGGTTTCTCTCTGGTCTTTCTATCTGGTCTCTCTCTGGTCTCTCTCTGGTCTCTCTCTGGTCCCTCTCTGGTCTCTCTCTGGTCCATCTCTGGTCTCTCTCTGGTCTTGCTCTGGTCTCTCTCTCTGGTCTCTCTCTGGTCTATCTCTCTGGTCTCTCTGGTATGTTTTCAGCTCTGTCCTCCATGTCTTCAGAGTCCTTCCTGGTCTCTCTCTGGTCTCTCTCTGGTCTCTCTCTGGTGTCTCTCTGGTCTCTCTCTCTGGTCTCTCTCTGGTCTCTCTCTCTGGTCTCTCTCTGGTATGTTTTCAGCTCTGTCCTCCTGTCTTCACAGAGAGTCCTTCCTGGTCCTCTCTGGAGGTCTTTCGTATGAGACCATGGGTCGCAGAAGAGCCTGCCTCACAGTGATGCACGGGAAGAGCACAGCAGTGTTAGAGATGGACTCAGGCATCGTGGACTTCATCACTCTGTGCGAGACCCCCTACCCCAACGGTGAGAACTCCTGGTCTCTCTCTGATGTCTCTCTCTGTTCCCTCTCTCTGGTCTCTCTCTTGGTCTCTCTTGCTGGTCTCTCTCTCTGGTCTCTCTCGCTGGTCTCTCTCGCTGGTCCCTCTCTCTGGTCTCTCTCTCTCTGATGTCTCTCTCTGGTCTCTCTCTCTCTGGTCTCTCTCTCTGGCCTCTGTCTCTGGTCTCTCTCTCTGATGTCTCTCTCTGGTCTCTCTCTCTCTGGTCTCTCTCTCTGGCCTCTGTCTCTGGTCTCTCTCTCTGGTCTCTCTCTCTGGTCTTTCTCTCTGGTCTCTCTCTCTGGTCTTTCTCTCTGGTCTTTCTCTCTGGTCTCTCTCTCTGGTCTTTCTCTCTGGTCTTTCTCTGGTCTCTCTCTCTGGTCTCTCTCTCTGGTCTTTCTCTGGTCTCTCTCTCTCTGGTCTCTGTCTCTGGCCTTTGTCTCTGGTGTCTCTCTCTGGTCTTTCTCTCTGGTCTCTCTCTCTCTGGTCTCTCTCTGGTCTCTCTCTCTGGTCTCTCTCTGGTCTCTCTGGTCTCTCTCTGGTTTCTCTCTGGCCTCTGTCTCTGGTCTCTCTCTCTGGTCTCTCTCTCTCTGGTCTCTCTCTCTGGTCTCTCTCTCTCTGGTCTCTCTGGTCTCTCTCTCTGGTCTCTCTCTCTGGTCTCTCTCTCTGGTGTCTCTCTGGTCTCTCTCTCTGGTCTCTCTCTCTCTGGTCTCTCTCTGGTCTCTCTCTCTGGTCTCTCTCTCTGGTCTCTCTCTGGTCTAACCTGGTGTGTCTCAGACTTCCAGGATCCGTACGCGGTGGTGGTTTTGCTGGAGAAGGATTTGGTCGTGCTTGACCTGGGGCAGATTGGGTGAGTTGGAGTTTAAAGCTGAGGACCGTAACTTTCACACCACAACAATATTACCCACTGTTCCTGGTTCTTAAACCGTCTGCTTCAACCACTAGTTTTCTTTGGTCCTGGTCCTGCTCCTGGTCCTGGTCCTGGCTTTCACATCATGTATTTCTGTCTGTCACATGTTTAGATCAAAGAGAGGACCCCCCTCTTTCAGCCAATCAGCTCTCAGCCCAAAGAGGCAGATACTGACTCACAGGGACTTGTAGATACTGACTCACAGGGACCTCTAGAAACTGATTCGCAGGGACCTGTAGATACTGACTCACAGGGACGTCTAGATACTGACTCACAGGGACCTGTAGATACTGTCTCACAGGGACCTGTAGATACTGACTCACAGGGACCTCTAGATACTGACTCACAGGGACCTGTAGATACTGACTCACAGGGACCTGTAGATACTGACTCACAGGGACCTCTAGATACTGACTCACAGGGACCTGTAGATACTGACTCACAGGGATATATGTTATTTATGAGACTCTGTTCAACCTTTGTGATATTAATGAGACAATTTTTTTGTTTGTTCCTGTTTGTGTCTCTCTGTATATCTGTGTGTGTGTCTCTCTCTCTCTCTCTGTGTATGTGTGTGTCTCTCTCTCTGTATATGTGTTTCTCTCTCTCTCCGTGTATGTGTGTCTCTCTCTCTCTGTGTATGTGTGTCTCTCTCTCTCTCTGTATGTGTGTCTCTCACTGTGTATGTATGTGTCTCTCTCTGTGTATGTATGTGTCTCTCTGTGTATGTGTGTCTCTCTCTCTCTCTGTATGTGTCTCTCTCTCTGTGTATGTATGTGTCTCTCTCTCTGTGTATGTATGTGTGTCTCTCTCTCTGTGTATGTGTGTGTCTCTCTCTCTCTCTGTATGTGTCTCTCTCTCTGTATGTGTCTCTCTCTCTGTATGTGTCTCTCTCTCTGTGTATGTGTGTGTGTCTCTCTCTCTCTCTCTGTATGTGTCTCTCTGTATATGTGTGTGTGTGTGTGTGTCTCTCTCTCTCTCTCTCTCTGTGTATGTGTTTCTCTCTCTCTCTGTATATGTGTTTCTCTCTCTCTCTGTATATGTGTTTCTCTCTCTCTCTGTGTATGTGTGTCTCTCTCTCTGTGTATGCGTGTCTCTCTCTCTCTCTGTATGTGTCTCTCTCTCTCTGTGTATGTATGTGTCTCTCTCTCTCTGTATGTGTCTCTCTCTCTGTGTATGTGTGTGTCTCTCTCTCTGTATATGTGTTTCTCTCTCTCTCTGTGTATGTGTGTGTCTCTCTCTCTGTGTATGCGTGTCTCTCTCTCTCTGTATGTGTCTCTCTCTCTGTGTATGTATGTGTCTCTCTCTCTCTGTATGTGTCTCTCTCTCTGTGTATGTGTGTGTCTCTCTCTCTGCATATGTGTTTCTCTCTCTCTCTGTGTATGTGTCTCTCTCTCTCTGTATGTGTCTCTCTCTCTGTGTATGTATGTATCTCTCTCTCTGTATGTGTCTCTCTCTGTGTATGTGTCTCTCTCTCTCTGTATGTGTGTGTCTCTCTCTCTCTCTCTGTATGTGTCTCTCTCTCTGTGTATGTGTCTCTCTCTGTATGTGTGTCTCTCTCTGTGTATGTGTGTGTCTCTCTCTCTCTCTGTATGTCTCTCTCTCTCTCTGTATGTGTCTCTCTCTCTGTATGTGTCTCTCTCTCTGTGTATGTGTGTGTCTCTCTCTCTCTCTCTCTTTATGTGTCTCTCTCTCTGTGTATGTGTCTCTCTCTCTCTCTGTATGTGTCTCTCTCTCTGTGTATGTGTGTGTGTCTCTCTCTCTCTGTATGTGTCTCTCTCTGTGTATGTGTGTGTCTCTATGTGTATGTGTCTCTCTCTCTCTGTATGTGTCTCTCTCTCTGTGTGTCTCTCTCTCTCTGTATGTGTGTGTGTCTCTCTCTGTGTATGTGTGTCTCTCTCTGTGTATGTGTGTCTCTCTGTGTGTATGTGTGTGTCTCTCTCTGTGTGTATATGAGTGTCTCTCTGTATATGTGTTTCTCTCTCTGTTAATGTGTCTCTCTCTGTGTGTATATGTGTGTCTCTCTGTATATGTGTCTCTCTCTCTCTGTATGTGTCTCTCTCTCTGTGTATGTGTGTGTGTGTGTCTCTATGTGTATGTGTCTCTCTCTCTGTGTATGTGTCTCTCTCTCTCTGTATGTGTCTTTCTCTCTGTGTATGTGTGTGTGTCTCTCTCTGTGTATGTGTGTCTCTCTCTGTGTATGTGTGTCTCTCTCTCTGTGTATGTGTCTCTCTCTGTGTGTATATGTGTGTCTCTCTCTGTGTGTATATGAGTGTCTCTCTGTATATGTGTCTCTCTCTCTGTATATGTGTCTCTCTGTGTGTATATGTGTGTCTCTCTGTATATGTGTCTCTCTCTCTCTGTATATGTGTCTCTCTCTCTCTGAATATGTGTGTGTGTCTCTCTGTATATGTGTGTGTGGTTCTTTGTGTTACTGTGTGTGTGTGTGTCTCTGTGTGTGTCAGGTACCCCCCGTTTGAGAACCCCTACCCCTTCAGCCTGCATGAGTCCCCGGTCACCTGCTGTGAGTACTTTGCAGACTGTCCGGCAGAACTGATCCCAGCTCTGTACTCTGTGGGGACCAGGCAGAAGAGACCAGGACTCAGCAAGAAGGTACACACATAGTACTGAGACAGGACCAGCAGAGGCATGCAGGAGCACCGGGACAGCTGGTATTAGGAATGTGTGTGTTTGGAGAGGTTAGGCCACGCCCTCTTTCTGGTCATGTGCTGAACCACATAGTTCTGCCCATGTTTTTTTGTCTTGGTTTCAGGTCTCTCTCTGGTCTCTCTCTGGTTTCTCTATGGCATCTCTATTTTCTCCCTCTCTCTTCTCTCCTCTCTTCCTCTGGTCCCTTCCTCTTCTCTCTCTGGTGTTTCCCTCTGCTCTCTCTTCTCCATCTGGTCTCTCTTTCAGGTCTTTCTCTGTTCTCTCTCTCCTCTATCTTCTCTCTCTGCTCTCTCTCTGCTCCCTCTCTGCTCTCGCTCTGCTCTCGCTCTGCTCTCGCTCTGGTCTCCCTCTGGTCTCCCTCTGGTGTCTCTCTGGCCTCTTCCTCTGGTCTCTCTGGTATGTTCTACAATATATATGAGACGTTTTATTACAATCACTGTTCCAAACAAAGTGGTCTAAGTGGACTCCTCCTGGTCTGACCCTGACTCGTCCTGGTCCCTGCAGGAGTGGCCGATCAGTGGAGGAAACTGGGGCGAAGGAACTCAGAGCTTTGCAGAAATCATCGTCACAGGGTGAGACCATCACAAACCTCCTCATGGTTCTCAGATTAACCAAATCTTCTTTTCCACAAACCAGACACGCCGACGGAACCATAAAGTTCTGGGACGCCTCGTCTTGTGAGTACATCACTCTCTGGTCTCTCTCTCTGGTCCCTCTCTCTGGTTTCTCTCTGGTCTGTCTCTGGTCTCTTTCTGGTCTCTCCCTAGTCTCTCCCTGTCTCTCCCTGATCTCTCGCTGGTCTCTCGCTGGTCTCTCTCTGGTCTCTCCCTAGTCTCTTCCTAGTCTCTTCCTAGTCGCTCCCTGGTCTCTCTCTGGTCTCTCCCTAGTCTCTTCCTAGTCTCTTCCTAGTCGCTCCCTGGTCTCTCTCTGGTCTCTCTCCCTGGTCTCTTTCTGGTCTCTCCCTGGTCTCTCCCTAGTCTCTCTCTGGTCTCTCTTTCCTCTCTAGCTCCTCTCTCTCTGGTCCCTCTCTCTGGTCTCTCTCTCTTGTCTCTCTCTCTCTGGTCCCTCTCTCTGGTCGTTTTCTGATCTCTTTCTGGTCTCTCTCTGGTCCCTCTCTCTTGTCTCTCTTGTCTCTCTTGTCTCTCTCTCTGGTCTCTCTCTCTGGTCTCTCTCTGTGGTCCCTCTCTCTGGTCTCTCTCTCTTGTCTCTCTCTCTGGTCTGTCTCTCTCTCTGGTCTCTCTCTGGTCTCTCTCTCTGGTCTGTCTCTCTTGTCTCTCTCTCTGGTCTCGCTCTGGTCTTTATAGTTTTTGTGTTTCTCCAGTGATACTTCATGTCCTCTACAAGCTTAGAACAGCCAAAGTGTTTGAGCGCACGCAGCCGAGTGTGGACCGAGGCGGGGACAAGACCCTTGACAAGACCCTGGACAAGACCCTGGACAAGACCCTGGACAAGACCCTTGACAAGACCCTGGACAAGACCCTGGACAAGACCCTTGACAAGACCCTTGACAAGACCCATGACCAGACCCTGAACAAGACCCATGACCAGACCCCAGACCAAACCCCGGACCAGACTCCAGACCAAACCCCGGACCAGACCCCGGACCAGACCCCGGACCAGACCCCGGACCAGACCTCGGACCAGACCTTGGACCAGACCTTGGACCAGACTGGAGACCAGAATGCAGACACAGACGAGGTCAAAACCGTGGACAAGAATGTCGACCGTGGCACGGACCAGAACGTAGACCGGACCTCAGACCGGACCTCAGACCGGACCACAGACCGGACCGGGGAGGGCCTGGACTTGCTGGATGAGGACCCGTTTGCGGTTCAGTGCGTGAGGTGGTGTGTGGACAGTCGGCTGCTGTGCGTCGCCGGAGTCTCCGCTTACATCATCGTCTATCGTTTCAGCAAACAGGAAGTGACGCAAGAGGAAATACAGGTGAGAACATCAGCAAACAGGAAGTGACGCAAGAGGAAATACAGGTGAGAACATCAGCAAACAGGAAGTGACGCAAGAGGAAATACAGGTGAGAACATCAGCAAACAGGAAGTGACGCAAGAGGAAATACAGGTGAGAACATATGCAAACAGGAAGTGACGCAAGAGGAAATACAGGTGAGAACATCAGCAAACAGGAAGTGACGCAAGAGCAAATACAGGTGAGAACATCAGCAAACAGGAAGTGACGCAAGAGGAAGTAGGGCTGGGCGATATGGCTAAAAACTATCTCACAATATAAGTAATTCATATCGTTCGATAACAATATATATTGATTGTTTTTTATTTATTTTTTTAAACCTAAATAAATACATTTGACGTGTCGGCTAACACATGTTAGCAACCTTGTTTACAGTCACGGGGGAATGAGGCTGGAGCCAAATGTTTACAAGCAGTCTCCCCCATAGTTATTCCTGGTTTATTCCTGGTTTAATCCTAGTTTTGTTCTGGTTTAGCTCCTGTTTTGGCTGTTTTTGAGTGTCTCCATGACGGCTCCAGAAAAAGTTAATCTCTTGCTTTTGCATGGAGTCTCTATACCCTCTGCCTCTGCCACGCTGCACATGCTGTTCCTCGCACGGACGTGCATAACTATTGACACGGCACTGAAACACGATCTTTACATCCATGGCTATTATAATAGATCCACGATCCATGGACGCTACGCATGGTGCGGTTGTTGTTTTTACATTTCCCAGAATGTTTTGCGGTGTGTGGTCGACTGTGATTAGTCGAGAAGCCTTTGCCTACATCCCCCAGAATGCAGCGCGCTTGTGACTCGGCTTTACTTTCTGTGTTTTCTTCCTGTTTCTTCTAACGGAGTGAAGTGAAACTATCGAACATTCTATCGACCTCGTTTTCTATTGATAGCGAACACGTGTCTATCGCAATTTATACCGTTATCGTTTTATCGCCCAGCCCTAAGAGGAATTACAGGTGAGAACATCAGCAAACAGGAAGTGACGCAAGAGGAAGTACAGGTGAGAGCAGCCCCCTCATCAGCAAAAAGGAAATTATTTTTGTGTGTGGTCCGCTGTACTTATGAGGACTTTAGTTGGTTTTTATTCACTGTACTTACTGGGATTTTGCTGTACTTACGGGAACTTTAGTTGGTGTTTAGTTGCTGTACTTACGGGGACTTTAGTTGCTGTACTTACGGGGACTTTAGTTGGTGTTTTGTTGCTGTACTTATTGGGACTTTAGTTGCTGTGCTTATGGGGACTTTAGCTGGTGTTTAGTTCCTGTAATTATGGGGACTTTAGTTGGTGTTTAGTTCTGGACTTCTGTGTGTGTTGGACCAGCTGTACTTATGAGGACTTTTGTGTGTATACCTGTTGTATTTATGAGGACTGGTTTTTTGTATGTTCACCTGACATCACAAACTAATAAGTGTTTCCTGTTGTACTTATATGTGTGTGCGTTTACTTATTAGGATTTTGCTGTCTGCTTTCCTGTTGTACTTATACGGACCTCTGTGTGTTTGCCTGTTGTTCTTATGAGGACCTCTGTGTGTATTTAGCCTGTTCTTATGAGGTCTTTTGTCTTCAGCTGTTGGAGGTGCGAATGCGCAGTGACGCCTCGGACTGTGCGGTGGACTCTCCGGAGGTGGGGGGAGATCAGTGTCCTCCTCTGCCCCAGAACGCTTCCCTTTCCAGCCCAGAGGAGAACCAGGACCCCCGTGACCTCAGCAGGACCACCTCCAGTGAGGGGGGTGGAGCCAAGAACCACAAGGACGGCACTGCCTCTCTACAGTAAGCCAGAGAGGGACCAGAGAGGGAGAGACCATCTTTTCCTGGTCTCTCATATGGTGCTGGTGCAGTCTCTCTCATGTTGGCGTGTGTTCACTCCCAGGGTCCGGTCATCTGCGCTGAAGCAGTCTGCAGGTTTTCATGTGCAGCTGGTTGTACAGTTGGCGTGGGTTAATGGAGAGCCGCCTCAGCCAATCACGAGCCTCGATATCAACTCTTCCTTCGGCCTGTGAGTAAACCTGTGTTATTTAAACTAAAGTTACAGACCTGAGCTTTAAACATGTGTTATTTAGACTAAAGTTACAGACCTGAGCTTTAAACATGTGTTATTTAAAGTTACAGACCTGAGCTTTAAACATGTGTTATTTAGACTAAAGTTACAGACCTGAGCTTTAAACATGTGTTATTCAGACTAAAGTTACAGACCTGAGCTTTAAACATGTGTTATTCAGACTAAAGTTACAGACCTGAGCTTTAAACATGTGTTATTCAGACTAAAGTTACAGACCTGAGCTTTAAACATGTGTTTTCAGACTAAAGTTACAGACCTGAGCTTTAAACGTGTGTTTTCAGACTAAAGTTACAGACCTGAGCTTTAAACATGTGTTATTCAGACTAAAGTTACAGACCTGAGCTTTAAACATGTGTTATTCAGACTAAAGTTACAGACCTGAGCTTTAAACATGTGTTATTTAAAGTTACAGACCTAAGCTTTAAACATGTGTTATTCAGACTAAAGTTACAGACCTGAGCTTTAAACATGTGTTATTTAGACTAAAGTTACAGACCTGAGCTTTAAACATGTGTTATTCAGACTAAAGTTACAGACCTGAGCTTTAAACATGTGTTATTCAGACTAAAGTTACAGACCTGAGCTTTAAACATGTGTTATTCAGACTAAAGTTACAGACCTGAGCTTTAAACATGTGTTATTTAGACTAAAGTTACAGACCTGAGCTTTAAACATGTGTTATTTAGACTAAAGTTACAGACCTGAGCTTTAAACATGTGTGTGGCAGCCTGGTGGTTGGCAGTGGGGCGGCTGTGGCTGTGGTCGACATCGTTCAGAAGAAGTTGGTCCTGAACCTGAGCGTGGCAGAACTCTACAGCTGTGAACTGAAGCAGCCGCGCTCCCCCAGGAAGAGCAGGGCGCCCTCTTCAGGTCAGACTGGGAACTGTCACGCTGCATGTTTGTTGCATGTTTGGTTTCAGATTTTTGTCTTACCTTTTTATTTTCTCATATTTTTTCTTTCTTTCTCTCATCTCTCTCTTTCCTCTCTCTCCCTCTCTCTCTCGCTCCCTCTCTCTTCTCTCTCTCTCTCTCTCTTCTCTTTCTCTCCCCTCTCTCCTCCTTTTCTGCTCTCCCCCCTCTCTCTCTCTCATCCCATCACTCTCTTCCCTCTCTCTTTTCTCTCCTCTCCCCTCTGTCCTGTCTCTCTCTCCCCCTCTCTCCTCTCTCCCCCTCTCTCTCTCATTTTTTTCCTCTCTCCCCTCTGTCCTGTCTCTCTCCCCTCTCTCCTCTCTCCTCCCTGACTCTCCTCTCTCTCTCTCTCTCTCTCTCTCTCCTCCCTGACTTCCCCTCTCTCTCTCCCCCCTCTCATGTGTCTGCTGCCCTCTGCTGGTCAGACGCTCCTCCCACCTCCTGCATGTCCTCGTTGTCCTCTCTTTATTCAGAGTCTGTGAAAAAACTTCGCTCGTCTCATTTTCGTGAGTTTAGTTCTGACCAAAGGTTTCTCCTTCACTCCCCCTTCTCCCTCTTTCACTCCCCCTTGTCTCTCCTTTATCCTCCCTTCTCCCTCCTTCACTCCCCCTTGTTTCTCCTTTATCCCCCCTTCTCCCTCCTTCACTCCCCCTTGTTTCTCCTTTATCCCCCCTTCTCCCTTGTTCACTCCCCCTTCTCTCTCCTTTACTCCCCCTTCTCCCCCCTCACTCCCCTGAAGGTTGTACTGTAGGTTCATTTCCCACTTCTCCACCGACTGCTGCTGTTGTGTCCTTGGGCAAAACACGTAACCCCACTTTGCCTGAAGCCCCTGCTGAAAGGAGGATCTGACCCCTGTGTGTGACCCCTGACCTCTGTGTGTGACCTTTGACCCGTGTGTGACCTCTGGCCCCTGTGTGTGACCTCTGGTCCTGTGTCTGACCTCTGACCCCTGTGTGTAACTTCTGACCCCTGTGTGTGACCCATGACCTCTGACTCCATGTTGACCTCTGACCCCTGTGTTTCTTCCCAGCTCTGTGCGACGCTAACGATGGAACTGCCGCCACAGAGGAGCGCTGCCGATCGCCCACTTCAGGTATGAGCTGCTGATTCCCCCTTCAGGAGGAGGCTTGTGATGTCACACTTAACCGCCCTCGTCCTTTGTTAAAATGTTTTTAATAATAATGCATTGGTTTTATACGGCTTTGTTTGGACGATCAAAGTCTCTTCATATTTATTCTTTCGCTCCAAACTACTACTGTAGCCATAGCTGCCCTGGGGCACACTGAAAGAAGCGAGGCAACCAGTCTGTGCCATCGGCCCCTCCCACCACCACCAACCATTCACACACACACCAGACTCATTCTAATGTGGGGGAAGTGTCTTGCCTAAGGACACAACCACAGTTTGGCACTTTACAGCCGCAGCCGCCCCACTTTGACTCCTGCTGTTCCCAGAGGTCTCCCATCACAGCACTGACCAGGCCCTGCCTTGCTTAGCTTCTGAGTTCTGACAGGGTCTGGCTTTTTGGTATGGTTTGGTATGTTTTTTTTATTTTTACAGGGACAGTGTACAATAAACATTAGCCAGAAGGAGCGATGCCTTGTACCAGGTTGAAGCAGCAGTGCTAATGTCCACCTGTTGTCTCTGAGCAGTTTCCCAACGTCACTCTGGTCTGAACCGGGAAGACTTCAACCACATGACCTCTGACATCATGTGACCTGTGACATGTGACCTCTGACATCATGTGACGTCTGACATTATGTGACCCCTGACATCATGTGACATCTGACATCATGTGACATCTGACATCATGTGACCTGTGAAGTCATGTGACCTGTGACATCATGTGACCTCTGACCCCCAGGCTCCTCCCCTTGTAACTCTGACGATGAGCGCAGACACAAGTTCATTCAGAAGGGTAAAGGAGTGACTCATCCTCTTTAACAACAGACTGTCTCCGTGTCTGTGTCTGTCTCTGTGTCTGTCTCTGTGTCTGTCTCTGTGTCTGTCTCTGTGTCTGTCTCTGTGTCTGTCTCTGTGTCTGTCTCTGTGTCTGTCTCTGTGTCTGTCTCTGTGTCTGTCTCTCTGTCTGTCTCTCTGTCTGTCTCTCTGTCTGTGTCTCTGTCTGTGTTTGTGTCAGTCTCAGTCTGGTTAACCCTGGTGTTTGTTCCAGTGAAATCGAAGAGCAGGACGTTCTCTCGCTCCGTGGCCTCAGACTTCGGTAACTCTCGCTCTCTCGCTCTCTCTCTCGATCTTCTCTCTCTCTTCTCTCTCCATTTGCAGATGTTCTATTTTCCACCAATAACACAACAGAGAGGTGGCTCTGTGTAAAAATGACCCACATTATCTCTCTCTGGTCTCTCACTCAGGTCTTTCTCTGGTCTCTCTCTGGTCTCTCACTCAGGTCTTTCTCTGGTCTCTCTCTCTGGTCTCTCTATCTGGTCTCTATCTGGTCTCTCTCTGGTCTCTCTCTGGTCTCTCTCTGGTCTCTCTCTCTGGTCTCTCTCTGGTCTCTCTCTCTGGTCTCTCTCTCTGGTCTCTCTCTCTGGTCTCTCTGGTCTCTCTCTCTGGTGTCTCTCTCTGGTCTCTCTCGTGGGTCTCTCTGTGGTCTCTCTCGTGGGTCTCTCTGTGGTCTCTCTCTCTGGTCTCTCTCTGGTCTCTCTCTGGTCTCTCTCTGGTCTCTCTCTGGTCTCTCTCCCTCCCCTCTGTGTGGTCTCTCTCCCTGGTCTCTTCCTGGTCTCTGAGTATTGCACAGACCCCTCCTCTGCTGGTACTCTTGCTGGTCTATCCGCTGCTGGTTTCTCTCGTCAGTGGACTAACAATGATCAAAGGCTTCTGTTGCACTAACGATGGGTTCTTGCTTCTCTAACAATCGCCTTAAAGATCTTAAAGATCTGAGTTTAAAGTTAAAACACAGATGTCTGTTTTTGTTTCAGCAAAGATTTCCCGCAGGATTAGCTCGTCTGACGCGGGTAAGAGCTCGTCCGACTTGGGTCCAAAAACACGCCTCTTCAGCTTCTTCACGCTCTCTTGTTTCTCATGTGTTTGAACTTGACATAATCGTTTTCAGCACAGAAGAGGCGCAGTGCCACCACAAGGAGGCGCTGTCCCAATGATAGCAGCAGCAACCGTGAGTGGGGCCTGGTCCTGGTCCTGGTCCTGGTCCTGGTCCTGGTCCTAGGCCTGGATTGAGTTTGGTACTAACACAGAACTGCCTGGGTTTGGTCTGGACTATGTGACTGGATCTGGCCTGGTCTCTCTCTGGTCTCTCTTTCTGGTCTCTGGTTATGGTCCTAGTCCAGCCCAAACCCTCTGGTCCTGGTCCAGGTCTGGTCCAAATCCTCTGGTCTCTGGTTGAACAGGTGGAATTGCTTTGATCTCATACTAACACTGCACCGTGTTTAACACATATGGCTTTGATCTTTTACTTTGACCTCACAATACACATGTGTAATATGAGGTCCTTACACAGGTGTAATATGAGGTCCTTACACAGGTGTAATGTGAGGTCCATACACATTTGTAATATGAGGTCCTTACACAGGTGTAATGAGGTCCTAACACAGGTGTAATGTGAGGTCCTAACACAGGTTTAATGTGAGGTCCTAACAGGTGTAATGTGAGGTCCTTACACAGGTGTAATTTGTGGTCCTTACACAGGTGTAATGTACAGGTGTAATGTGAGGTCGATGAATCTCACTGGGGAAAAACTTGTAGAGTTTGTTTTCATGTTTTGCCTGTTGTTAAATTACTTCCTCTCTCCCCCACAGACCCCAGGGAGCCTGCGTTCAGCCGCTGCTCCAGCGTCAGCAGCATAGACTCACGTGAGGCCGTGTCAGTGTGTTATTTTGGGGAAAGTTTTGCACGTCGCGGGGACAGTGCTCCTGGACCCTGTCTGATGGTGGGGACCACACAGGGGACGGCGGCCATTTTGTCTCTGAGTGTCCCGTCTGCAGGAGACCAACGACACAGCCTCAGTGGGACCACCTGCGGTGAGTGTGACATAACCACAGTGTGACATCACCACAGTGTGACATCACCACAGTGTGACATCACCACAGTGTGGTACAGAAGAAGCTGATTTGAAAATAAGCTGGAGCCAGAGTAACAGGAGCAGACCTGTTCCTAAGGGTTAGGGTTAGGGTTACAGTTTGTCTTAGGGTTGCTAAGACAAACTAGAGTTTCCCTCTGATTGGTCTGTGCTCCCCCTCTCTGCTCCTCTATAGTAACAGTACTTCTGTGTCTCAGGTGTCGTCTCCCAGTTAGGAGGCGCACTCCTCCTCTGTGCGCTCCTGGACTCCTCCGGCTCTCTGCTGCCTCCTCCCTTTGAGCCGTGGTTTGACACCAACGCATCAGATGAGGAGAAGGAGCGAGCGAAGAGGAGGCGACCTGCCACGCCTCCTGGAGGCGCAGACGGGCAGGAGGCGCAGCTCCTCCTGCTGTGCTCAGAGAAGCAGATCAAAGTGCTGGCTCTCCCGTCGCAGAACCGACTCTACAAACACCGCGTCACCGACACCTCCTTCGTGCTGCACGCAGACGCCGTGGCGGTGGGCGGAGCCAACTGCGTCATGTGCTTCTGTGCCGACGGAACCATCCTGGCACTCAGGTGTTTATGTGATCTTATAGTCAGGTGTTTATGTGACCTTATAGTCAGGTGTTTATGTGATCTTATAGTCAGGTGTTTTATAGTATAGTCAGGTGTTTATGTGACCTTATAGTCAGGTGTTTATTTGACCTTATAGTCAGGTGTTTATGTGATCTTATAGTCAGGTGTTTATGTGATCTTATAGTCAGGTGTTTATGTGACCTTATAGTCAGGTGTTTTTGTGACCTTATAGTCAGGTGTTTATGTGACCTTATAGTCAGGTGTTTATGTGACCTTATAGTCAGGAGTTTATGTGATCTTATAGTCAGGTGTAAAGCCGCACCTCTCTATGAGCCTCACCTCTCTATGAGCTGCACCTCTCTATAAGCCTCACCTCTCTATGAGCTGCACCTCTCTATGAGCCGCACCTCTCTATAAGCCTCACCTCTCTATAAGCCTCACCTCTCTATATGCCTCACCTCCCTATGAGCTGCACCTCTCTGAGCCTCACTTCTCTCTGAGCCTCACCTCTCTATGAGCCTCACCTCTCTATAAGCCTCACCTCTCTATAAGCTGCACCTCTCTGAGCCTCACCTCCCTATGAGCTGGACCTCTCTATAAGCCTCACCTCTCTATAAGCCTCACCTCTCTATAAGCTGTACCTCTCCATAAGCCTCACCTCTCTATGAGCCTGCTGCAGTGGTCAAAATGCAGAAAAAAGTAGAAGTCCGGAATTTACAATATTAATATAGATATGCAATATATAACACTGTGTGTCTCTGTCTGTGTCCCTGTGTGTGTCCCTGTGTGTGTCTCTGTCTGTGTGTGTGTGTCTCTGTGTGAAATGTGTGTCTCTGTGTAAATGTGTGTCTCTGTGTAAATGTGTGTCTCTGTGTAAATGTGTGTCTCTGTGTAAATGTGTGTCTCTGTGTAAATGTGTGTCTCTGTGTAAGTGTGTCTCTGTGTAAATGTGTGTCTCTGTGTGTACATGTGTGTGTACATGTGTATCTCTGTGTGTGTGTCTCCGTGTGTGTGTGTGTGTGTGTGTGTGTGTGTAGTCTGCCCAGCCTGCGCCCCCTGCTGGCCGTCCCCTTCCTCCCCGTCACAGACATGAGGATCGCTCGGACCTTCTGTTTCTCTCACTGTGGTCAGGCCCTGTACCTGTGCTCCCCCTCTGAGGTCCAGAGGCTCAGCTACAGCAGGGAGACCAGCGAGCAGACCCAGGTGAGCCAGACCAGGACAAAGACCAGACTAGACCAGACCAGGACAAAGACCAGCCCCTTACCAGGCCTCAGAGTAAGTACCATAGCCCAAACAGTCTCTCGCTCCGCAACTGGTCACGGGTGCAATACACACAGATGCAATACACACAGATGCAATGCACACAGGTGCAATACACACAGGTGCAATGTGCAGGTGCAAGTTCAACACACAGGTGCAATACACACAGGCACAATGTGCAGGTGCAATACACACAGGCACAATGTGCAGATGCAAGTTCAACACACAGGTGCAATACAAAGGTGCTATATACACGGGTGCAATAAACATGTGCCCGACCCAGTCTCAGACCCAGGTGTGTGTTTCCGCAGGAGATGCTGAGTGAGCTGTTCACTGCGGTGGAGACGCCTGAGGCTCCGAACAGAGGCTTCTTCAAAGGACTGTTCGGAGGCGGAGCCCAATCCCTGGACCGAGAGGATCTGTGTGAGTATCCGAGTATCTCTGTGAGTATCTCTGTGAGTGTCTCTGTGAGTATCCGAGTATCTCTGTGAGTATCTCTGTGAGTATCTCTGTGAGTATCTCTGTGAGTATCTCTGTGAGTATCTCTGTGAGTATCTCTGTGTGTGTCTCTGTGAGTATCCGAGTATCTCTGTGTGTGTCTCTGTGAGTATCCGAGTTACTCTGTGAGTGTCTCTGTGAGTATCTCTGTGAGTATCCAAGTTACTCTGTGAGTGTCTCTGTGAGTGTCTCTGTGAGTGTCTCTGTGAGTGTCTCTGTGAGTGTCTCTGTGAGTGTCTCTGTGTGTGTCTCTGGGAGTGTCCGAGTATCTCTGTGAGTATCTCTGTGTGTGTCTCTGTGAGTATCCGAGTATCTCTGTGTGTGTCTCTGTGAGTATCCGAGTTACTCTGTGAGTGTCTCTGTGAGTATCTATGTGTGTGTCTCTGTGAGTATCCGAGTTACTCTGTGTGTGTCTCTGCGAGTGTCCGAGTATCTCTGTGTGTGTCTCTGTGAGTGTCTCTGTGAGTATCTCTGTGTGTGTCTCTGTGTGTGTCTCTGTGAGTGTCTCTGTGAGTGTCTCTGTGAGTGTCTCTGTGTGTGTCTCTGTGAGTCTCTAAGTATCTCTGTGAGTGTCTCTGTGTGTGTCTGTGTGTGTCTCTGTGAGTATAGTGTTGCACTGTCGTAATATCTGTTTTTACTACTGTCTTTTTATATTTGTGTTACTCTGCAGCACTTTGGGCAGTGTCTGTTGTTACTGTATAAATGTGCTCTAGAAATACATTTCACATGGACATGTGTGTCACATGTGTGATGTGACATGTGTGATGTCACATGTGTGATGTCTCACATGTGTGATGTCTCACATGTGTGATGTCTCACATGTGTGATGTCACATGTGTGATGTCACATGTGTGATGTCACATGTGTGATGTCACATGTTGCAGTTGGAGAAGCTGCCGCGGGGAAAGCATCCCGCAGTCTGGCGCAGCACCGTCCTGGTCCTGGTCCTGAGGGTCTGGAGACTGTGAAGGGAGCAGCCTCAGGGGTGGTGGGGGACCTGGCCCGGGCCCGAGTGGCTCTGGACGAGAGAGGACAGAAGCTGTCGGAGCTGGAGGACCGCTCGGCGGCAATGATGGCGAGCGCTGACTCCTTCTCCAAGCACGCTCACCACGTAAGTTAGACATTTATTTAATGTTAATTTAATGTATTAGTTTATTTGACAGGAACATTGTGCATTAATAAAACGTTACTGTAAATGCACCAGAATTAGGCTACTTTTCATCTGCAGTCCCTGGACAGGCCCATGGTCTCCCTGAAGATGGTGACAGTAAGAGTCAGACAATAATAACATGCAAACACACAGTCGGAGACTAGAAGAACTCAAACATCATAAAAACACAGTTCACACAAAAGATATGTTCAAAGCAATGAGTACATGGCCTAGAATAATGTCCACACGTATGAACTAATGTCCACACGTATGAACTAATGTCCACACGTACGAACTAATGTCCACACGTACGTATGAACTAATGTCCACACGTATGAACTAATGTCCACACGTATGAACTAATGTCCACACGTCTGTGGTGTAGAGTCTGGTGTGAACTCTGTTTGCTGGGATGGAGCTCCAGTCTCTGGCAGCGGTTACAGAGAATGCCCTGACTGTACAGCTGTGGTTACAGCTGTATTCACGGCTGTGTTACAGCTCTATTCACGGCTGTGTTACAGCTGTATTTACGGCTGTGTTACAGGTGTATTCACGGCTGTGTTACAGCTGTATTTACGGCTGTGTTACAGGTGTATTCACGGCTGTGTTACAGGTGTATTTACGGCTGTGTTACAGGTGTATTCACGGCTATGTTACAGCTGTATTTACGGCTGTGTTACAGGTGTATTCACGGCTGTGTTACAGGTGTATTCACGGCTGTGTTACAGGTGTATTTACGGCTGTGTTACAGGTGTATTCATGGCTGTGTTACAGGTGTATTCACGGCTGTGTTACAGGTGTATTTACGGCTGTGTTACAGGTGTATTCACGGCTGTGTTACAGGTGTATTCATGGCTGTGTTACAGGTGTATTCACGGCTGTGTTACAGGTGTATTTACGGCTGTGTTACAGGTGTATTCACGGCTGTGTTACAGGTGTATTCACGGCTGTGTTACAGGTGTATTTACGGCTGTGTTACAGGTGTATTTACGGCTGTGTTACAGGTGTATTCATGGCTGTGTTACAGGTGTATTCACGGCTGTGTTACAGGTGTATTTACGGCTGTGTTACAGGTGTATTCACGGCTGTGTTACAGGTGTATTCACGGCTATGTTACAGGTGTATTTACGGCTGTGCCTCTGTGTGTTGCAGATGATGCTGAAATACAAAGATAAGAAGTGGTATCAGCTCTGACCTGAAGACGTCTGTTTTAATTTATTTGGTTAGATTAAAGGTGCTGTCTGTGATGTCACACTCTCTGATGTCACACTCTGTGATGTCACACATTATCACTTTGTAAAGTCAGGTCCCCCAGCTTTAAACCTGAGCATCTCAGTTGGTGTCTCCTGTGATGACGTAAAGTGTATTTATATGGCAGGTCCAGACCCCGGTCCAGACCCCGGTCCAGACCCCGGTCCAGAATGATTTCCTTAAAGAATTTGTTTAATGTTTGTTGTCTGCAGCTGCTGTCGTCACGGAAACGTCTTTGTTTGACACCAGAACTCCCAGAGCAGTCATTTTGACTGTCCATCTCACTGGTCTCTTGGCATCTAATGTTCTTTGGCAGTTAAAAGAACTTTTCTCCAGACACTGGTCCTGGGTCAGCTTTGTTTTCCAGCGTTACCATAGCAACACACTGTTTACTGTTAGCATTAGCCTGTTAGCTTACTGCTATTTTGACTAGTTTATTATTAAAGATAAAACACATATACATGGGTTAATTGTTTATTAAAGAGTCAGTGTAAATCTCTGAGCTCTTGTTTGGATGGGAACAGTCCAAATGACTGCTCTGGGTCCTGGTGGTTGTGGTTTTACTTTTCCCTTTGCACTAAAATGAAATAATATATAAAACATGTTTTTATAGAATCATGATTAAAGGGGACGTCCCCTGAAGGTCTCAGCTGGAATCGTCTGATTTTAAATAAAAATATAAACTCAAACATTGTGTTTTATTTATTATTGAATAGGTATCTGAGGGGTTATCTTTTATTGACCGGTAGTGGGAGAGGGAGAAAGAAAAGAGAGACTAATAATGGTAAAAACATAGGAGGAGTTGAGATGCTGTAATCCAAGGGAGGGAGTGGAGGCGAGGGAGGGAGTGGAGGCGAGGGAGGGAGTGGAGGCGAGGGAGGGAGTGGAGGCGAGGGAGGGGGGTGGAGGCGAGGGAGGGAGTGGAGGCGAGGGAGGGGGGGCCGTAATGTTGGTGAAGAGGGTAGGCCTAACTAGGCATATGAATGTTTTTGGTAAGAAAGTAATGTTTATCCAGGCCACTTCTCACTCACACAGAGGTGGGACCAGGTGGCAGCAGATGGGACCAGGTGGGAGATGATCCCAGCAGCGTCCTGCATAATGTGTGACTGTGGTGCATTAAAAACATGATGGGATGTTGGCATTAAAAGTGTGTGCTTGAGATGTGGGAAGAGGACTTATTTTTTGTTATTTATTTATTATTTTGTTATTTTATTTATTTTTATGAATTATTAATTCCTTCATTAATTTATTCTTATTCCCTCATCAACATATCACCATAGAATGTATATAAATATGACATAAAACAGGGGTACAGTGGTGTAGCAGCAGAGAGAGAGAGAGGTGCAAAATACACCATGACATAATCAGTGGTAATAGGTAAAGTATGTAAGGTTAGCTTATGAGTGTGGGGTCTGGGATGAGGGGTCTGGGATGAGTGGGGTTTTCCCATGCAGAGGTGTGTGTGTTGGTTTTGGTTTTCCAGTTTATGAGTATTGTTTTTTTGGCGAAAGTTTGCGACATTAGCAGGTACTTTGATCTCGTCTGATTGGTGGGGAGGGTGGACATGTCTCAGAGGGAGGCGACATTGGGAGGTTGCAGCCAAGTGAAGTGATGAGTGACTGAGTGACGGGTTCCAGAGTGCTTGGACCGGAGTGCACTGCCAAAGAGCGTGAGTGTAATTGTCCCCACAACCCTGTGTGCCGAGGGGCCAGACGTCTGAAGTGGGTCATTGTTGGTCAGTTGTTGGTCTGTTGTTGGTCAGCTGTAACCAGTGTAGGATAACATTGTGTTTCAATGACGTCACCGTCTGTTCTTCCACTTCATCCATGACCGGGTCACAGCAGCTGCTCTACTCTACTCTACTCTACTCTACCCTACCCTACTCTACTCTACTCTAGTCTACTTTACTCTACTGTACTCTACCCTACTCTACTCTACTCTAGTCTACTTTACTCTGCTCTACTCTACTCTGCTCTACTCTACTCTACTCTACTCTACTCTGCTCTGCTCTGCTCTGCTCTGCTCTGCTCTGCTCTGCTCTGCTCTGCTCTGCTCTACTCTACTCTACTCTACTCTACTCTACTCTACTCTACTCTACTCTACTCTACTCTACTCTACTCTGCTTTACTCTACTCTACTCTACTCTACTCTACTCTACTCTACTCTACTCTACTCTACTCTACTCTACTCTACTCTACTCTACTCTACTGTACTCTGCTCTACTCTACTCTACTCTACTCTACTCTGCTCTGCTCTGCTCTGCTCTACTCTACTCTGCTTTACCCTACTCTACTCTACTGTACTCTACTCTACTCTACTCTACTCTACCCTACTCTACTCTACTCTCGTCTACTTTACTCTACTCTACTCTACCCTACTCTACTCTACTCTAGTCTACTTTACTCTACTCTACTCTACCCTACTCTACTCTACTCTACTCTACTCTACTCTACTCTGCTCTACTCTACTCTGCTCTACTCTACTCTACTCTACTCTACTCTACTCTACTCTACTCTACTCTACTCTACTCTACTCTGCTCTGCTCTACTCTACTCTACTCTACTCTACTCTACTCTACTCTACTCTACTCTGCTCTACTCTACTCTACTCTACTCTACTCTACTCTACTCTGCTCTGCTCTGCTCTGCTCTGCTCTGCTCTACTCTACTCTACTCTACTCTACTCTACTCTACTCTACTCTGCTCTGCTCTGCTCTGCTCTGCTCTGCTCTGCTCTGCTCTGCTCTACTCTACTCTACTCTACTCTACTCTACTCTACTCTACTCTGCTTTACTCTACTCTACTCTACTCTACTCTGCTCTACTCTACTCTACTCTACCTTACTCTACTCTGCTTTACTCTACTCTACTCTACTCTACTCTACTGTACTCTGCTCTACTCTACTGTACTCTGCTCTACTCTACTCTACTCTACTCTACTCTACTCTGCTCTGCTCTACTCTACTCTACTCTACTCTACTCTACTCTACCTACTCTACTCTACTCTACTCTACTCTACTCTGCTCTACTCTACTCTACTCTACTCTACTCTACTCTACTCTACCCTACTCTACTCTACTCTACTCTACTCTACTCTACTCTACTCTACTCTGCTCTACTCTACTCTACTCTACTCTACTCTACTCTACTCTACTCTACTCTACTCTGCTCTGCTCTACTCTACTCTACTCTACTCTACTCTACTCTACTCTACTCTACTCTACTCTACTCTACTCTACTCTACTCTACTCTACCCTACTCTACTCTACTCTACTCTACTCTACTCTACTCTACTCTGCTTTACTCTACTCTACTCTACTCTACTCTGCTCTGCTCTGCTCTGCTCTACTCTACTCTACTCTACTCTACTCTACTCTACTCTACTCTACTCTACTCTACTGTACTGTACTGTACTGTACTCTACTCTACTCTACTCTACTCTACTCTACTCTACTCTACTGTACTGTACTGTACTCTACTCTACTCTACTCTACTCTACTCTACTCTACTCTACTCTACCCTACCCTGCTCTGCTCTGCTCTGCTCTACTCTTCTCTACTCTACCCTGCTCTGCTCTTGCCCTGCTCTACTCTACTCTACTCTACTCTGCTCTGCTCTGCTCTGCTCTGCTCTGCTCTGCTCTGCTCTGCTCTACTCTACTCTACTCTACTCTACTCTACTCTACTCTACTCTACTACTACCTACTCTACTCTACTCTGCTCTGCTCTACTCTACTCTACTCTACTCTACTCTACTCTACTCTACTCTACTCTACTCTGCTCTGCTCTGCTCTACTCTACTCTACTCTACTCTGCTCTGCTCTACCTGCCTACTCTACTCTACTCTGCTCTGCTCTACTCTACTCTACTCTACTCTACTCTACTCTACTCTGCTCTACTCTGCTCTACTCTACTCTACTCTACTCTACTCTGCTCTACTCTACTCTACTCTACTCTAACTCTACTCTGCTCTACTCTGCTCTACTCTACTCTACTCTACTCTGCTCTACTCTACTCTACTCTACTCTACTCTACTCTACTCTGCTCTACTCTACTCTACTCTACTCTACTCTACTCTACTCTACTCTACTCTACTCTACTCTACTCTGCTCTACTCTGCTCTACTCTACTCTACTCTACTCTACTCTACTCTACTCTGCTCTACTCTACTCTACTCTACTCTACTCTACTCTACTCTACTCTACTCTGCTCTACTCTACTCTACTCTACTCTGCTCTGCTCTGCACTACTCTACTCTACTCTACTCTGCTCTGCTCTACTCTGCTCTACTCTACTCTACTCTGCTCTGCTCTACTCTACTCTACTCTACTCTACTCTACTCTACTCTACTCTACTCTGCTCTGCTCTACTCTACTCTACTCTACTCTACTCTGCTCTGCTCTGCTCTACTCTACTCTACTCTACTCTACTCTGCTCTACTCTACTCTACTCTACTCTACTCTACTCTACTCTACTCTACTCTACTCTACTCTACTCTACTCTGCTCTACTCTACTCTGCTCTACTCTACTCTACTCTACTCTGCTCTACTCTGCTCTACTCTACTCTACTCTACTCTACTCTGCTCTACTCTACTCTACTCTACTCTACTCTACTCTGCTCTACTCTGCTCTACTCTACTCTACTCTACTCTGCTCTGCTCTACTCTGCTCTACTCTACTCTACTCTGCTCTGCTCTACTCTACTCTACTCTACTCTACTCTACTCTACTCTACTCTACTCTGCTCTGCTCTACTCTGCTCTACTCTACTCTACTCTACTCTGCTCTGCTCTGCTCTGCTCTACTCTACTCTACTCTACTCTACTCTGCTCTGCTCTACTCTACTCTACTCTACTCTACTCTACTCTGCTCTCTCTACTCTACTCTACTCTACTCTACTCTGCTCTGCTCTGCTCTGCTCTACTCTACTCTACTCTACTCTGCTCTGCTCTACTCTGCTCTACTCTACTCTACTCTACTCTGCTCTACTCTACTCTACTCTACTCTACTCTACTCTACTCTGCTCTGCTCTGCTCTACTCTACTCTACTCTACTCTACTCTGCTCTACTCTGCTCTGCTCTACTCTACTCTGCTCTACTCTACTCTACTCTACTCTACTCTACTCTACTCTACTACTCTACTCTACTCTGCTCTACTCTGCTCTACTCTACTCTACTCTACTCTGCTCTACTCTACTCTACTCTACTCTACTCTACTCTACTCTGCTCTACTCTACTCTACTCTACTCTACTCTACTCTACTCTGCTCTACTCTACTCTTCTGGTCCTCTCTCTCGGGGCTCTCGCTCTGGTCTCTCTCGCTGGTCCCGCTCCTCTCTGGTCCTCTCTGTCTCTCTCTCTGTCCTCTCCTCTCCTCTGGTCTCTCTCCTGAGACGCTCTCCTCGGTCTCTTCTCTGGTCGCTCTCTCTGTTCTCTCACTCTCTGATAACTCTCTGTCTCTCTCTGGTCTCTCTCTGGTCTCTCTCTCTGAGTCCTCTCTCTGTCTCTCTCTGTCTCTCTCTGGTCCTCTCTCTGTATCTAAAAAATGAAACTGGTCTGTCCTGGTCTTAGTGTTCCTCTAGGCCTCAGGAGAATCCGAACTCACGGGGTCTAGTATGAACCGATCTGTTTGGTGAATTTCAGACCTGCCAGCAGCTTCTCTCTGTTTGGGTCTTGGGTTTTGGGTCTGGGTCTGGGTCTGGGGTCTGGTCCTGGGTCTACGGGTCCTACCATGGAGTCTGGGGTCCCGTCTTCCCTGCACTGGCTGCCTCTGCATGACCTCCGGCATACGTTTGAGGCTTAATTGACAACGTTAACCCGATGACCTGGAGGGGTGTAAAAGGATCGAAGGAGCGGGACCATGGTCAGCTCGGGTCCCATCCCGTCCACCGAGACCGCTCCTGACCGGTCCGAAGACTTCAACCGGGACCTGCCACGATCCCCGCACTACTGCACCCTGGAACCGGACCCCACTCAGACTCAGGCGGGTCCTCAGACTCAGGCGGGTCCTCAGATTCAGGCGGGTCCTCAGATTCAGGCGGGTCCTCAGTCTCAGGGGGGTCCTCAGACTCAGGGAGGTCCTCAGACTCAGGCGGGTCCTCAGACTCAGGCGGGTCCTCAGACTCAGAGTAAGGACTTTGTGACGTATCCGAAACTGAAGCTGAAGGTTTTGATCCGAGACAAACTGATGAAAGACGGAATTGACCTGAGAGACGCACCGTACACACAAGAGGTACACTCACACACACACACACAAGAGGTACACACACACACATACACACACACAAAAGGTACACACACACACACAAGAGGTACACACACACACATACACACACACAAGAGGTACACACACACACATACACACACACAAGAGGTACACACACTCACACATACACACACACAAGAGGTACACACACACAAGAGGTACACACACACACATAAGAGGTACACACACACACACGCACACACAAGAGGTACACACACATACATACACACACACAAGGGGTACACACACACACACATACACACGCACACACAAGAGGTACACACACACACACACACACACACACACTAGGTATACACACACATACACACTAGGTACACACACAAGAGGTATACACATATACACACTTGTGGATACATTCAAACCTGTATCAGCGAGGTCCCCATTGCGTAACTGTGTAAACAGATTCATGTCCCTACAAAGCTAGGAATACCAGCACACACTCCTCTCTCCTCTCCTTCCTCTCTCCTCTTCTCTCTCTCTCCTCTCTCTCCTCTCTTTCCTCTCTCTCTCCTCTTTCTCCTCTCTCTCTCCTCTCTCTCCTCTCTCTCCTCTCTCTCCTCTCTCTCTCCTCTCTCTCCTCTCTCTCGTCTCTCTCTCTCTCTCCACTCTCCTCTCTCTCTCCTCCTCTCTCCTCTCTCCTCCTCTCTTCTCTTCCCTCTCTCGCTACTCTCCTCCGCTGTCTCCTCTCTCTCCTCTCCTCTCCTCTCTTCAGTCACTCTCGTCTCTTCCTCTCTCTCGTCTCTCTCCGCTTCTCTCGTCCTCTCCTCGCTCTTCTCTCCCCTCTCTCTCCTCGACTCTCCTCCTCCTCGTCTCCTCACTCGCTCCGCTCTCTCTCCTCTCCCTCCTCTCTCCGCTCTCTCCTCTATCTCCTCTCCTCTCCGCGCTCGCTGCTCCTCTCTCCTCTCTCTCGGCCTCTCTCCTCTCTCTCCGTCTCTCCTCTCTCTCCTCTCGCGCCTCTCTCTCCTCTCTCGGCCTCTCTCCTCTCTACGCCTCTCTCGTCCTCCGCTCTCCCCTCTCTCTCTCCTCGCATACTCCTCTCTCTCTGTCTCTCCTCTCTCGTCCTCGCTCCTCTCTCTCCTCTCCTCCTCTCTCTCCTCTCTCCTCTCTCCTCCTCTCTCTCACTCTCTCCCGCTCTGCTCCTCTCAACTCCTCTCTCCGCTCCTCCTCTCCTCCTGTTCCTCTCGCTCACGCTCTCTCCTCTCTCTCTCTCTCTCTTCATCTCTCCTCTCTCTCCTCTCCATCCTCTCTCCTCTCTCTCCTCTCTCCTCCTCTGCTCTCCTCTCGTCCGCTCTCCCTTCTCTCTAAATCCTCTTCCTTCTCCTCTTCTCTCCGCTCACCTCTCTCTTCCTCCTCTGCTCGTCGCTCCTAAGCATCTCTCACTCCTCTCGCTCTCGCTCTCTCTCTCTCTCTCTCTCTCTCTCCTCTCTGCTCCTCCTCCTCCACTCGGCTCCTTTACTCTTCCTTTCTCCTCTCTCCTCCTCTTCACTCCTCTCCTCGCTCTCCCCTCCTCGTCTCATCCTCTACTCGCTCCTCTCTCCACCTCCCCTCCTCTCTCTCCTTTCTTCTCCTCTCCCCCCTCACTCGTCCTCTCTCTCACTCCTCCTCTCTTTCCTCCCCTCCTCGCTCCGCTCGTCTCCTCTCATCCTCTCTCTCCTCACTCTCCTCTCTCTCACTCTCTCTCCTCTCTCCTCCTCCTCTCTCCCTCTCTCCTCTCTCACTCTCTCTCTCTCTCTCCTGCGTCTCTCACTCTCTCTCCTCTCCCTCCTCTCTCTCGGCTCTCTCCACTCTCATCCCACGCCTCCTCTCTCCTCCGCTCTTCCTCTCTCTCTCTCTCTCGTCTCTCTGCCTCTCTCTCCTCTCTCTCCTCTACTCTCCTCACCCGCCTCTCTCTCCTCTCTCCTCTATCGCACTCTCTCTCTTCTCTCTCCTCTCTCTCCTCCTCTCCTCTCCCCCCCCCTCTTGCCTCACCCTCCTCTCTCTCCTCTCTCCTCTCTCCTCTCTCCTCTCTTCTCTCCTCGTCTCTCCTCTCCTCTCAGCCATCCTCTCCTCTCTCTCTCTCTCTGTTCGGTTTATGGCTCATGCAGTATAAATGACTCTGGGGCAGGTGCGGCTCTGACTTGTTTTATACTTTTAGCTCCTTTCTCCTCGAAATGGAACAGAGACGAGAGAGAGACGAGAGAGAGACGAGAGAGACCAGAGAGAGACCAGAGAGAGACCAGAGAGGGATGAGACTTAAGAGGTAGAGAAGTGTCCTTTCATGACTCTGATTCTTCATTATAAACATTTTCATGTCTCTAGTGCAAGGTTTCACTTTCTGTTTTTGTGAATACATCATACTTCATTAAAGAGTATGGAGACTACGCGAGACGAAAGGGACTAGAGACGAGACCAAGAGAGACACCAGTGGAGAGTCCAGAGAGAGACCAGAGAGAGACAAGGAGAGACACAGAGAGGAACCAGAGGAAGACCACAGTGAGAGACCAAGAAAGAAGAGACCAGAGGAGGAGGAACCAGAGACAGACAAGACAGACCAGAGGACAGACTCAGAGACAGACAGAGAGGAGACCAGAAAGAGACCAGAGAGAGAGACCAGAGAGAGAGACCTAAGAGAGACCAGAAGATGACCATAGATGAACCAAGAGAGACCAGAGAGAGACCCGCAGATAAGAGACCAGAGAGAGACCAAGAGAGACCAGAGAGAGAGACCAGAGAGTGACCAGGAGAGAGACCATAGAGAACCATAGCAAGACCATAGCGAGAGGTCTCTCTCTTTCATTATAATCTCAATAACAGTGATGTCTGCTGTGGGTCAGGATTATGTCATGAATCCTTCAATTTGTGACGTACGAGTGTAGTGTGTGTGTGGGGTTGCGTGTTATGTGAGGGGTGTGTATGGTTATTTGGATTTAAAGATCAAAAGAATCCACCCTGAACATGTCTGTGGTGAGCACCTCTCCTCTGACCCACATCTCACAGCTGTTTCCACATGAATAACATAGTCCCTGTTACCACGGCAACCAGATCCTTTTGAGACTCCGCAGCAGAGGCATTCATGAGCACAGGTCTCTTGTCTCTTTCTGGTCTCTCTCTCTGCTCTCCCTCTGGTCTCTCTACTTTGCTCACGCTCTTTACTTTGCTCACGCTCTTTACTTTGCTCACGCTCTTTACTTTGCTCACGCTCTTTACTTTGCTCACGCTCTTTACTTTGCTCACGCTCTACTTTGCTCACGCTCTCTACTTTGCTCACGCTCTTACTTTGCTCACGCTCTTTAACTTTGCTCACGCTCTTTACTTTGCTCACGCTCTTTACTTTGCTCACGCTCTTTACTTTGCTCACGCTCTCTACTTTGCTCACGCTCTTTACTTTGCTCACGCTCTTTACTTTGCTCACGCTCTTTACTTTGCTCATGCGCTTGACTTTGCTCACGCTCTTTACTTTGCTCACGCTCTTTACTATGCTCACGCTCTTTACTTTGCTCACGCTCTACTTTGCTCACGCTCTTTACTTTGCTCACGCTCTACTTTGCTCACGCTCTTTACTTTGCTCACGCTCTACTTTGCTCACGCTCTTTACTTTGCTCACGCTCTTTACTTTGCTCACGCTCTCTACTTTGCTCACGCTCTTTACTTTGCTCACGCTCTTTACTTTGCTCACGCTCTACTTTGCTCACGCTCTTTACTTTGCTCACGCTCTTTACTTTGCTCACGCTCTTTACTTTGCTCACGCTCTACTTTGCTCACGCTCTTTACTTTGCTCATGCTCTTTACTTTGCTCACGCTCTTTACTTTGCTCACGCGCTACTTTGCTCACGCTCTTTACTTTGCTCACGCTCTCTACTTTGCTCACGCTCTTTACTTTGCTCACGCTCTTTACTTTGCTCACGCTCTTTACTTTGCTCACGCTCTACTTTGCTCACGCTCTTTACTTTGCTCACGCTCTCTACTTTGCTCACGCTCTTTACTTTGCTCACGCTCTTTACTTTACTCACGCTCTTTACTTTGCTCATGCTCTACTTTGCTCACGCTCTTTACTTTGCTCACGCTCTTTACTTTGCTCACGCTCTTTATTTGCTCATGCTCTTTACTTTGCTCACGCTCTTCACTTTGCTCACGCTCTTTACTATACTCACGCTCTTTACTTTGCTCACACTCTACTTTGCTCACGCTCTTTACTTTGCTCACGCTCTACTTTGCTCACGCTCTTTACTTTGCTCACGCTCTCTACTTTGCTCACGCTCTTTACTTTACTCACGCTCTTTACTTTGCTCACGCTCTACTTTGCTCACGCTCTTTACTTTGCTCACGCTCTACTTTGCTCACGCTCTTTACTTTGCTCACGCTCTCTACTTTGCTCACGCTCTTTACTTTGCTCACACTCTTTACTTTGCTCACGCTCTACTTTGCTCACGCTCTTTACTTTGCTCACGCTCTTTACTATACTCACGCTCTTTACTTTGCTCACGCTCTTTACTTTGCTCACGCTCTCTACTTTGCTCACGCTCTACTTTGCTCCCGCTCTCTACTTTGCTCACGCTCTTTACTTTGCTCACGCTCTACTTGGCTCCCGCTCTCTACTTTGCTCACGCTCTTTACTTAGCTCACGCTCTACTTTGCTCACGCTCTTTACTATACTCACGCTCTTTACTTTGCTCACGCTCTTTACTTTGCTCACACGCTACTTTGCTCACGCTCTTTACTTTGCTCACGCTCTCTACTTTGCTCACGCTCTCTACTTTGCTCACGCTCTACTTTGCTCACGCTCTACTTTGCTCACGCTCTATACTTTGCTCACGCTCTACTTTGCTCACGCTCTCTACTTTGCTCACGCTCTTTACTTTACTCACGCCCTCTACTTTGCTCACGCTCTACTTTGCTCACGCTCTACTTTGCTCACGCTCTACTTTGCTCATGCTCTTTACTTTGCTCACGCTCTTTACTTTGCTCACGCTCTACTTTGCTCACGCTCTTTACTTTGCTCATGCTCTTTACTTTGCTCACGCTCTTTACTTTGCTCACGCTCTACTTTGCTCACGCTCTTTACTTTGCTCACGCTCTACTTTGCTCACGCTCTTTACTTTGCTCACGCTCTCTACTTCTCACGCTCTCTACTTTGCTCACGCTCTCTACTTTGCTCACGCTCTTTACTTTGCTCACGCTCTTTACTTTGCTCACGCTCTTTACTTTGCTCACGCTCTTTACTTTGCTCACGCTCTACTTTGCTCACGCTCTTTACTTTGCTCACGCTCTTTACTTTGCTCACGCTCTTTACTTTGCTCACGCTCTCTACTTTGCTCACGCTCTACTTTGCTCACGCTCTTTACTTTCACGCTCTTTACTTTGCTCACGCTCTACTTTGCTCACGCTCTACTACGCTCTCTACTTTGCTCACGCTCTACTTTGCTCACGCTCTACTTTGCTCACGCTCTTTACTTTGCTCACGCTCTCTACTTTGCTCACGCTCTCTACTTTGCTCACGCTCTCTACTTTGCTCACGCTCTACTTTGCTCACGCTCTCTACTTTGCTCACGCTCTTTACTTTAATCACGCTCTCTACTTTGCTCACGCTCTTTACTTTGCTCACGCTCTACTTTGCTCACGCTCTTTACTTTGCTCACGCTCTACTTTGCTCACGCTCTTTACTTTGCTCACGCTCTACTTTGCTCACGTTCTTTACTTTGCTCACGCTCTCTACTTTCACGCTCTCTACTTTCACGCTCTCTACTTTGCTCACGCTCTACTTTGCTCACGCTCTACTTTGCTCACGCTCGTTACTTTGCTCACGCTCTCTACTTTGCTCATGCTCTTTACTCTGCTCACGCTCTCTACTTTGCTCACGCTCTCTACTTTGCTCACGCTCTTTACTTTGCTCACGCTCTTTACTTTGCTCAAGCTCTTTACTTTGCTCACGCTCTTTACTTTGCTCACGCTCTTTACTTTGCTCGTGCTTTACTTTGCTCACACTCTCTACTTTGCTCACGCTCTTTACTTTGCTCACCCTCTTTACTTTGCTCACGCTCTTTACTTTGCTCATGGTCTTTACTTTGCTCACGCTCTCTACTTTGCTCACGCTCTTTACTTTGCTCACGCTCTCTACTTTAATCACGCTCTCTACTTTCACGCTCTACTTTGCTCACGCTCTCTACTTTGCTCACGCTCTTTACTCTGCTCACGCTCTCTACTTTGCTCACGCTCTCTACTTTGCTCACGCTCTTTACTTTGCTCACGCTCTTTACTTTGCTCAAGCTCTTTACTTTGCTCACGCTCTTTACTTTGCTCACGCTCTTTACTTTGCTCGTGCTTTACTTTGCTCACACTCTCTACTTTGCTCACGCTCTTTACTTTGCTCACCCTCTTTACTTTGCTCACGCTCTTTACTTTGCTCATGGTCTTTACTTTGCTCACGCTCTCTACTTTGCTCACGCTCTTTACTTTGCTCACGCTCTCTACTTTAATCACGCTCTCTACTTTCACGCTCTACTTTGCTCACGCTCTTTACTTTGCTCACGCTCTCTACTTTGCTCACGCTCTTTACTTTGCTCATGCTCTCTACTTTGCTCACGCTCTCTACTTTGCTCACGCTCTACTTTGCATACGCTCTTTACTTGGCTCACGCTCTTTACTTTGCTCGTGCTCTTTACTTTGCTCACGCTCTTTACTTTGCTCACGCTCTACTTTGCTCACGCTTCTACTTTGCTCACGCTCTTTACTTTGCTCACGCTCTACTTTGATCACGCTCTTTACTTTGCTCACGCTCTACTTTGCTCACGCTCTTTACTTTACTCACGCTCTTTACTTTGCTCACGCTCTCTACTTTGCTCACGCTCTACTTTGCTCACGCTCTTTACTTTGCTCACGCTCTCTACTTTGCTCATGCTCTTTACTTTGCTCTTTACTTTGCTCACGCTCTTTACTTTACTCACGCTCTCTACTTTGCTCACGCTCTACTTTGCTCACGCTCTCTACTTTGCTCACGCTCTACTTTGCTCACGTTCTTTACTTTGCTCACGCTCTCTACTTTGCTCATGCTCTTTACTTTGCTCTTTACTTTGCTCACGCTCTCTACTTTGCTCACGCTCTACTTTGCTCACGCTCTTTACTTTGCTCACGCTCTCTACTTTGCTCATGCTCTTTACTTTGCTCTTTACTTTACTCACGCTCTCTACTTTGCTCACGCTCTTTACTTTGCTCATGCTCTTTACTTTGCTCACGCTCTTTACTTTGCTCACGCTCTTTACTTTGCTCATGCTCTTTACTTTGCTCACGCTCTTTACTTTGCTCACGCTCTGTACTTTGATCACGCTCTTTACTTTGCTCACGCTCTCTACTTTGCTCACGCTCTTTACTCTGCTCACGCTCCTTACTTTGCTCACGCTCTACTTTGCTCACGCTCTACTTTGCTCACGCTCTACTTTGCTCACGCTCTTTACTTTGCTCACGCTCTTTACTCTGCTCACACTCTTTACTCTGCTCACGCTCTTTACTCTGCTCACGCTCTTTACTTTGCTCACGCTCTCTACTTTGCTCACGCTCTTTACTTTGCTCACGCTCTCTACTTTGCTCACGCGCTACTTTGCTCACGCTCTTTACTTTGCTCACGCTCTCTACTTTCACGCTCTCTACTTTCACGCTCTCTACTTTGCTCACGCTCTACTTTGCTCACGCTCGTTACTTTGCTCACGCTCTCTACTTTGCTCACGCTCTTTACTCTGCTCACGCTCTCTACTTTGCTCACGCTCTACTTTGCTCAAGCTCTTTACTTTGCTCACGCTCTTTACTTTGCTCACGCTCTTTACTTTGCTCACGCTCTTTACTTTGCTCACGCTCTTTACTTTGCTCGTGCTTTACTTTGCTCACA